AGGAGTTCAAAGAAACACTTAAAGTTTGGAATCTGTGCCCTGCTAGAGCTTTCTTCAGAAAGCTGTCAGCAATTACACTGATTTCTCTGTGAAGGCTTAGTGTCTATCTAGAAGATTAAAAATGTCTCTACAGTCGACTTTCAGGAAAAGAAAGGAATTTTTATATGCACAGAAATTTAGGACTATACTACGCAAAGGGTAGTTCAAGGACCAGCAAGTGGTTTTGGCACTACCTAGGAGCTTGTTAGAAATGAAGAGTGGTAGGCCTTCAACTTACATGTACTGAATTAGAACTTAGAGTTTGACTAGATTTTCAGATGATTCTTACTTATATACCTTTGAGTGTGAAAAGCATTGATCTGGGGATAAAATGTTCTTTTAAGGTAGCAGAGAGTTATAGGAGTTTGAAAGGTCACAAATACCAAGAGAGTTGGGGGTCTTAATACCCCCATATTGTTTGGAATCCCAGAAGTGACACAAATATTTATGGCCATTCCTGTTCTGTATGGAAATTTGGACCATAATTCTTTGAGGTTCTTTCCATCAATGGCATCCTCTGAATCATGTTATGATTCATAATCAAGCTTTTATTTTTTATAGATGTTTCTGTCATTAGAAGATAATAGAAAAGGTATTCAACATGATTTTCAGAGGACACATTGAAAATGTTGTAGGGAAAAGTCTGAAGACTTGGTTAGCTAAGACTGTTTCATCCTCAAATATGTATAGGATTAAGAGTTGGGCTAAGGAGTTTTTCTAGTCAACCAATAGAAGGACTTTAGAGTAAAAGCACATATATGCACAGCCACTCATTATGCTTTCAGGTTAAACATTTTTATAACCTTTGAAGGCAGGTGTTTTAAATTTTTTTTTTTGTCATGGATTCCTTTGATCTGGTAAATTCTGTAGGGCTGCTTCTCAGAATAGTGTTTTAAATGTGTAATTATAATAAAGTACACAGGACTACAAAGAAAGTAGTAAATATTTCTCAAAATATTAATAAGAAATTTAGAATAAAGTAATAGTACATGTTTTAATTAATATTAATTCATCATTACCCAGTTATCTTCTATGATTTCAAAATATTTGTTAGCATAAATGATATTTTGAGATCTGCAGCTACTATAATATGATATAGAAAAAATTTATGTTTTTATGGGTGATAGTCATCCTGCTGATGTTAACCACATTTTTTTTTGGTAGTATATTCATAATAGGTGATAATGTTAAATTTCAGTTAGAAGTTAGTAAGAATAAAGATGTAACTCCCCACCCTGCCAGGGTGAGTTCATTACCTCCTGATTTCATGTTCTAAGGTGATTTTAATAATACTGATATTCTAGGACTGGGTTTTTAGTTTGTTTATTTGGAAACCTATTAGAGGATTCCTTGAAACTGTTATTAATTTCTTATTTTACTTGATGTTTATTCAGAAGATAAATATTTCTTGGGTTTATATGTTGGGTTTGGAGTAGGAAAGACAAGGGAAGGTCGAGAAGGCAACCAAATTGAGTGGGATGTTCCTGCCTTTAAGTAGTTGAGGAAAGTATTATAATTTTATTAAACCAAGATAAATTTTATTGAAATATGCATGGGTTTCAGCTCTTCTGAGTTTTGCCATATTGTACCTGGAAGTAGGAAGAACTAAGAAAATGCTAATTTTGCTTTAACACATGTCTCCTGGAACTATCACTAAAATAGAGATGCTCAGACTTCTTCCATGGGGAGTGTTTTAGGATGTTCTATGTGGGCTATGGGTGAGTCTATCTTTTGATAGATGGGTCCTCATCATCTGGCAAAATCTGGAAAACTGAGCTAGATGATTCTATAACATGTATATAGAAGCACTTAGACTAGTGAAAGGGGATATATACCAAAAGGTGATAAACTAATTTAGTTTTATTATTGCCAAAACTCCCCAAGCAAACAAAACAGCAACAAAAGTCCTGATCTAGTTAGTAAAGATACTTCGGTTAAGCCTTTTAAAAGGCATGCATGTTTAATCTTCAGGAGGCATTTAAATGAATTATTGGTTGAAAAGAGCTACCCTATCAGCTAGATGTTGTGATCCCCATTTTGCATTTGAGGAAATTGAGACTTAGAGAAATGAAGGAATGTGCCCAAGTCATATTCTATAGAAAACCTTTGGTCGGGCCTGGTGGTGCATGACTATAATCCCAGTGACTCAGGAGGCTTAGGAAGGAGGATTCCAAGTTCAAAGCCAGACTCAGCAACTTACCAAGGCTGTAAGCAACTTAGCTTAGACACAGGTCTCAAAATAAAACAGACTGGAGATGTGACTCAGTGGTAAAGCACCCTTGGGTTCAATCCCCAGTATCCTCAAAAAAGGACAGAATTTGACTCTGTCTTTCTGAGTCCAAGGTCTCTATTTATGGCTGTAGTAGCCATATCTTTAAATCTAAAACACGGTGATGATGCACCATGATGTGTCATGGGGTGGAGGAGTGTGTATATAAACATGCATGGCTCCCTATCATTTATCTCATTCTCCAATGTCATTGTCCATCTATTTGTGTCTGCTGCTTGGCCCACCCAGTCTTCTCAAGTGTTAAACCTGGAAAATTTATTTTATTTGTGAAAAAAACTTTGTTTATTTGTTTGCTTATGTATATTTATTTGCAATGGGTAAGCCAGGTAAAACAAATATGTATTTTTTATAATATTATAATGTTAGTTTTATTTGTGAATTTATGATTCTAGGCAGAAAATTTATACACCAAACATTATCTAAGTACTTAGAGATAACAATTCAAATAAAAATACATAAATGATCATAACTTACATTAGGTTATTAAAGATGACCACAGCATGGAGAAGAAGGAGGCGGCAACGTGCAGATAGCAGTCAGCAGGTATTCATTTAGTACTTACTGGTTGCCTAAAACTGCCAAGCACCCTGGAGGGTACCTAATAATATGGTTAGTCTTTCCCAGCTTTTACAAAGGTAGTCCTAGGGAGAGGGAAGACTTCCTTTACTCCTTGGGAGGAATGGGGCTTGCAGTATGGAAGCTAATGTAGTTAGGAAAAGGAAAACCAGGGAGGTTAATGGAAGGAGTCACTTCTGCCGTGCTTGGTTACATAGGGTAAACAGGCTTACCTTATACTTTGAGGTCCAAAATAGGAAAAGAAGCCGAATCAACCTTTAATATATCATGGCTGTTAGTCTTATGGGAAGTGGTCTGAGGATAAGAGTTTAAATTTGGCTAGTGGACTTGTCACTCATGTTTTAGGGTTCAACTGATTTTCATCATGTTCTGCAGTAACTGTCAGGTATTTGTACAAGGGGTTGGTGCTTTAGGTGAGAGTCAGATGGCTGAGGCACAGGGTTAGTTCTTGGAGGTCCAAAATGCTATGTTGCCTTTGCTGTCTTCTGTGGGACACAGAAATGTTTTGCTGTTCTGTCACACACATCTCTATATCAACTCACATTTAATGAGACTGGAGATATGGGAGGATCTGTCTTCAAGACCAGAAGTTTTCTCTCTGCTTTTTCTCCTCATCTTTGTTAATGGTCTGAGGAATTTATTTTTTCTTTTCAATTTGGCACCAGTCGTCTCTGCTTCAGTTTTTCTTGGTATGATTGTTGCTTTCTTGGATAAAAGTGCCACACAATTGACCCTCCCACACCTCTCCCTCGGACTCAGTCCAGTCTGGGCTAGAAGTTGAATGATGTGTTTTTCTCATTTTGGGGCACTCATCATAGCTGGCATTTGTAAGCCAGCTGTTGTGTGGGACAGCAGCTGCAGGGCATGGAAGCTGAGTGCCAGGCTCTTTTCTTGGGAGAATTAGAGCTACTCCCTAACATGGCACTGGAGGTACCATTAGAGGGTCCCACTGGCCCTTCCTATCAATAGTCCATACAGCTGGGACACCAATAATATGAAACTAGACCATGCTGTAGTGGCTCTTTATTGAGAGATTTGAATATCACCACTGTTAGAGCAGAGCCATGTACACCTTGGGTCCTTGCTGCTTGGAGTGCTGGCCATGAACAGTGCAGTAAAATCTGAGGGGGTTTACACAGTTCTGCTTTTAAAGTATACTACTGTAATTATTTTTAACAGTGAAAGGTCATGTTCTGTTGTACCATTTCAAAATATTTCTAAGACAGTAGTTTTTTTATTTCCTAAGTCATAATAAGCATTTTGTTTGCCTTATATATCTGAATAAAATTCTGTTTAAGCACAGATGTTAAATGTAATTTATTATATCTGAAAAATGTACTTTGTATATTAGTAAGGTAAATGAACTTCAATAATGACTTCAGAATAGGGTGGGAGACATATAAAATGTAAATAAAATATATCTTTAAAAATTTTTGCAAGGATCTTTTGCTTACAGCTTTGAAACATTTCGTGTCCAAGAGATTTGAACCTGGTGGTTCAAATTTGATCTTTTTTACTTTATGGTATTGTAGTGGTTTTCTGTCCTTTTCTGTCAACTTTCTCAAAGAGCAGAAGTGAGGGGCAAATGAAAGTGAGTTCCTTATGATTTCAATTTCCAACTTTGAATGAAGTTTAAAAGAAGAAAGGATGTTATATGAAGGCCAGGAAGGAAAATATTGTTTCTAATCTGGTGATATTTCTCATTAACATGGTACAGTTGCAGGGGAGATGAGGCTAAAGGAGGCCCTGGCTTTAGAAGTTGAGGTGATTGTGTCCACATGGGCTATTTGCTGTTAGTTCTGTAAAGTTTACATGTACATAAATTATTTCTCATTATTTGAATAAATGTTTTCAGATCCAAGAGTGTGAGACTCCTGGAATTCACTTTAAAAGTATTTAAAGATTATGTTTCTAACACACACACACACAAAACCAAATCAGTAGTTAGCCCAAGGGAATGCTAGTAGGTGAAACCTGCTTTGAATTAAAATATTTTAAGATGTTTTTGTACTTAAGTTGTGAATTGTAAACTATTCCATTTTGATTTCTGGGAAATTTCTTATGCATAATTAATCCTTTTTCCTCCCTTCTGCAGAACTGGCTAGATCCTGCAAAAGAAATAAAGAGACAGCTGCGAAGTGAGTATTTAAATAATCATACTTTGAAGTTATTAAGTTAAATCTTTCTATCTATCTCTTTCCATCTTTAATAAAATTTATAGGGATTCAGATTGGAATAATAAGACGGAATAGAATGTTGAGTTCTATTTTATACCATCTTAGAAGGCAATGTTAATGATATATTTGTAGAATTGTGACTGTTTATTTTGTCTTTGGCTTAGAACTCCTACCTTTCAGGAGGCTACAGATGAACATTCTTGCACATACCATTTCAGTGTTTACCAGTATAAGGCAACATCTCACCCTTTATTTCTGGGAAAGAATGAGAGGCTGTTTTTCTGCAAATTTCACTTTGGGAAGGCTTACTGTAGATAGACCTGATACTATTGCCTTGTCCATTGCATTTTGGAAGTGTGTGGTTTAATGGTAAGCATATCGGAAGCCCCAGAGGCATACAGGCACATATTCCTAGGTGCACTGGAGTGAGGATTTCAGGGGTGAAAGTCAGTCAGGACCATCTTTTCAGTTCTCTGAGTCATTGCCTCTTGCTTGCTCCCTCCATTCCACAGCCCAAGGCACTTAAGTGCTCTTTCTGTCTGGGTTTGTGGTTAGGCCTGCTTGTTCCTGTCTTCCCACTGCCCCTTTTTTTTCACTGTGGAATCCCCAGATGACTTCCAATGCCCACTCTAACCAGCCTCAGCTCCCTTGAGGCTGTGCTCGGAAAATTGCTTTGCTTGTGATAGCTGTGCCAAGAAATATTAGCACCACAGAGAAATCTCTGATAGGGCATTTGGATACTTGGTTTACTTCAGGGTCTGTGAATGACTGAGCAGAGAAGGCAAGGAATCGTGAGTAGCTGGAATGTTTTAGACTGGAGAACAAAATGTGAAGAGTGGTAAATGCCTTATAGCCCTTCTAAGACTTTGGGCCCCAGAGCTCTCCAGGGAGAAGCTGTTTTCTTGAAAACTAACTGCAAAGTGACCTGCACTATTGATTATACATCCCTACTTATTTATTATTTCATGTCAAAACCCAGGAACAAATCTATGCTTCCCATCTTGCCCTTTCCATCTACCTCTGTCTCCGTATTTATTTTCTTTCTCACTCCTAATTGTTAGTCTTCCTATCATTTCTTTCTGTATTTTTTTTTTTTTACATTTGAACCTTATTGCCCTCATTTTGTCTCCCTTTTTTAGACAGATATATTTATAGCCTTTATTTTTCATTAAAAAAAATGTCTTTGGTTAGAGTTCCTGACTTGCCAATACTGAGGTGTGCCCTAGAATGTGGGACTTTTGATGCTAAAACTGGAACAGTCCTAGGCTCTCTGGCATGGTTGGCCACTCTGTCTTTTGACTATTGTTCCTGGCTTTTTTTACATTCATTTCCTCTCTCCTTTTCTCTGTTTTTAATGTATTATCTTGATGTTTTACCCATTTGTGTTTGTTTCATGATGGAAAGGAGGGGAGGAATAAGTAGATAAATTACACTGATATCATGGAAGAAACTGTACTGCAGTTGTTTCATGCTCTGTAAAGTTCAGAGTTCAGAAGATATAGATGCTTGGTTCTTCCACTTTCTTTGAAACCCAACCTGTCAGGTGACCCAGACAGAAAAAGGACAATCTTTGAAATATGATTGATGTTCCATTGAGTTGATGCCTATTTTGGGTCTCATTTGATTATGTGTGTATCACTATTTTAGAGTCATAGATATTACTTGTTGGTAATCTTTTGAAAGAAAACTTTCAAAAAGTTTCAAAATTTTTGAAAGAAACTTTCCAGAAAAAGTCTTTGGAAAACTTTTAGAGTGTAAGACTTGTCCTGATTATGAATCATGTTCCTATGTTGATTATTTATTGACCTCTTTCTTCCTGTGTTAAGATGGGCGAAAGAACTCTTCTTTCAACTTGTTCTATTAGCCCAGTCTCTATGATGATTTTATTGTTCCTTTACAGTTAACAGGCTGTTTGAAAAGATAAATATTAATCTTTGGGTTACTTTTGACAACCAAAAACTTATTGATTCTTATTTAAATTTTACCTTTAAAAAAATCTTTTTATCCATGGGTGTGGCCGCGTGGCGAGGGAGGCTTAGGCAGGAAAATTGAAAGTTCAAAGCCAGCCTCAGCAAAATTGAGGCGCTAAGCAACTCACCAAAACCCTGTCTCTAAATAAAATACAAAATAGGGCTGGGGATGTAGCTCAGTGGTCGAATATCCCTGAGTTTAATCTCTGGCTATCCCCCCAAAACAAAAGCAAAAACAAACAAACTTTATTTTCTCAAATGTATACAAAGAAGCCTATATATGTAAGGCCTATAGGTGACTAATATATATAAATAATCCATAATTACCTGAACTGTATATGTGTAGCTAGTAAAACCAAAGTAATTCATAGTTGAATTAAAATTTAACTTAATTTATTATTGGTGATTTTCAGGTTTTCTTACCATAAAATATAATTATATGAGGTTGTATATATATGTTAATTGAATTGATTTGGCCATTCCACAATGTACATACATTTCAAATATATTGTACACCATAGAAATGTACAATTTTTTCAATTAAAATAAATTGAGTATTCATGGGTTTTGGAAGTATATCCTCAAATATAAGTTTAATAGAAACATGCCTGTAGTCATATCCAGGCAAGCATATGCTAATGTTAATACCCAGAAAACAAATAAACAAGGGACTATTAAGAAAAGATAATCCAGTGATGACTTTGCTTGATTATGGATTAGCAGTCACCTCAGAAAAGTGCATGTGCATAATGTGTGGACTGTGTTTGACACAGCGCTATAGGCATTGGAACATCATGTTTCTTCATATTTATGAAGATTATATTAATTTACCGTGTTTTAAATGTGTAAAGCAGAACTGAAATCTGTTTCTGGAGTTCAGCAGGATTGATTTTATTAGTGGAATAACGATGTATTGAGCCAAAATCTAACAGAAGTAACGTATATATGTAGTAGCCATTGAGTGAGAGAGAAGATAATGTGCTAATGATGACAGAGGACAATAGAATATGTTGAACAAGAGAATGGAATTCAAAAAATTTTCAAGTCCATAAATTAAAGGTCCTTTGAGGGCCTCAAATAAATTATACACAGAGAGAGAACTTTTCCTGTTTTTGTTGGAAAATGCTATGATCCTGGAGCTGAATTGTACATTCAGGCTAGTGGAATTAATTTGGGTCATTTTAGGAAGAAAATATCTGCCTTCTCCCTTTTCCCTTTTATTGCTCCTGATCAAACCAAAACGTGATATAGCAAAATATAAATTAATGTGTAAATAGCAATGTTTTTACTTTTAGTAACTTTCATGATATAGTTGTTTGACAAGCATTCTTTTTTTTTTTTTCTTCTTTTGATACTGGTGATGGAACCCAGGGGCACTTTACCACTGAACTATATCTCCAGTGCTTTTTATTTTTTATTCTTGAGACAGGATCTCACTGAGTTCCTGACAGTCTTACCAAGTTACTGAGCATAGCCTAGAAGTTGCGATCCTCCTACCTCAGCCTCCCAAGTGGCTGGGATTATAGGCATGTACTGTTGTGCTTGGCAACACACTCAATCTTTATGGCCCAGTGTATGTTATATAAAAATATGTGCTTACTCTACAAAAACTGAGAAATAATTTTATTCTCTTAATTTCACCGTTTACCATGCTTTCCCTTTCTTGGGATCTCTTTGAACACTTCCTTTAAATCTTTAATCATTTCCTGAATAGTTGTTGTGATTGCTTCTACTCCTTTCCCCCCCAACAATGTAGGGAAACTGCCCTCCCCCCCTTCTAAGTGGATGGAGAGTATTTTGCTGCTGAAGATCCTCTGGTTAAAACAGATTTCATCTCAGAACTATTACATGGAGGTTATATTTAATTATTTATGTAATGGATCACCATATACAACATTTGTTGATATACTAATAAACACTTATGAGAAAGTGAACTTATTCTTTAATAGTGGTTTATTTATATAATTGATTTTTGTTTTATTTTTTGTTTCATTTTGGTTTTATAAATGATATTCTTCTAAACAATTCTACAAATTGATTTATACTGAAATGAGTCTGTGCTGTATCATCTTAAATAGTTATCCTCGTATTTGGGTAAATAACCGTGGTGTTTAATAATTGCAGATCTTCCTTGGCTGTTTACTTTTAATGTGAAATTTTATCCTCCTGATCCTTCTCAGTTGACTGAAGATATCACCAGGTATTTTATATTTGCATATTAAAATGAATCTTAGAGCTGTCCTTTATTTCTGTGCTCTGTGGAATCATGGTAGTAATCTCAGGATTGAACATTAAAGCAAAGTTTTAGTAAGTTGGGTTTTAGAAATTTTCTTGGAAATGGGTCCTTTCCTAAATAGTTTTGAAATGTTGCCAGTTGCAAAAATTGTGTTTACTTCTCTTTAGTTCTCCCTTTTAAGTAATAAAATACTTTTAAAAATGGTATTGCTGGCAACTTTGTTTGTAATTTAAATATATGTTCTTCCAGTCCACATAATCTCTGAATGGTTTTCTTGGCCTCCTCAAAAGCTACCCCACCTTCTAAATGTTAAAGACCTAATCACTTTTAGACTGCCAGGCCCCAAGTTAGGGAAGCGTCTGATCTCAGCTGTGCCCCTGAGGCCTTCAGTTAGCACAACAGATTCTATTATATGCTTTTACAAAGACACTGATGTTCAGTATTTTAGATTTTAATACTGAGGTGGTTTTTATTATATGAGCCTGTGTACTTCTCTCTTATTATAAAGATGATATAAGGGTAAATGAATGAAATTATTTTAAAAAGTCAGTTGAACTGGTAGTTTTGTTTGTCCTCCTACCTCCCCTATTTCCCTGCCCCAGATAGAACTAACAGTATGTAAAGGCAATCGCCATTTTCTTTCCATTTCCTTGAAGATTATGTGGACTATAAGAACATATGCTTAAATTGCAAGTAAAGGGTCATTCAAGAGCAAGAGAACATTTACTGATCCTGAGAGTGGCATCTAAGGACAGTGAATCAGCAAGTGCCTTGACATCTTAGCCCTGCTAGATTGGTAGTAAATGATGAAGTTTCTTAGGTTTGTTAAGAATAGTGTAAAGGGCTGGACACACGCTGATGCAGGAAGATCACAAGTTCAAAGCCAGCTTTGGCAACTTAGTGAGACCCTGTCTGGAAATAAAAAGTAAAAGAGGACTGGGGATGTGGCTTGGTCATTAAGTGCCCCGGGTTCAACCCCCCACTATCGCCCCCTGCAAATAAGTATAAAGGGATGATTCTTATATATTTTTAAAAAGGTTATTTACATGGCTAAGGAAAATTGTATAGCATTTGTACTATTTAGAAAACAAGAGGGTCTTAGTGAAAGACTGCTTATCTCTCTGAGTTCTGTGCCTTTGATGTTCTCTGCTAGCCTAGTTTTTTATTGTTGTTATTGAACATCAAGTTGTATAGATGCTTAAAATGTGTAGTATCCATGTGAGGTAGGAATGGTGGAAGTTTCTTTTCTATGTTACAAAAATAACAGGCCTTTTCTTCATTTTTTATTACTTGTTGCTGAATAGGAATGTACCAGTATACCAAATTAATTACTATTAATTTAGTTCTGATAAAAGTAGCTTCAGCTAGTAAATAATAAATAGTAGCTTCTGTAATTGCACAGCAAGCTGCTTAAAGCATTAACCTGGATAGGTTGGTGTGTGTAGGGTACAGAAGCTTCACTGCAGGGGAGTGCCTTTGAAGAATGTACATAATGCGACTTTGGGACCCAAACTGTACACTCCTTTTTGCGGTAATTTGTTTGAGGGATGATAATCCTTTGGTGATTGTAACTTCATTACTTTGGGTTTACATATAAATTGGGTTTAAACATTTCTCCCTGTCTGGTGGGAGGAATAATAGAATCTTCTGTGCTAGCTCTTGCTGATTTTTATTTGAAGTTTTTAGGACTTAAGACTTTAAAAACAGAGGAAAGGACCAGTGTGAAAAGTAGTGACAATAATATAAAAAGAAGCAGCAGGATGAAATCTTTGTGTTAAGGTCTCAAAGTACCACAAAATGTGTAGAACTAGCTCTGTGTATTACTGATTAAGAATTTGAGGGTAACCTGGTATCATAGTTTAAGATTTAGTTTTCTAAAGTAGGTGCAGTTGTGATCATATTTTCTATAGGTCAAGGAAACATAATCATCCTTAAAAAGAGAACTTACACAATGAATAAAAATACTCAGACTGCAGGACTAATGAGAAGACTTTTATTTTCAGGAAATTATTGAGTACTTGATTTGCTAACTGTGGGACCACAATGATGATCTATCCCTGCCCAGTGGTAGATTTGGGTGGCCATTCAGGTGTAACTGAACTGGAACTGTGTGGTGTGGGATGTGGTCTCTGACTCATGAACAGATACCTGCCCAGAAGCCACCACTCCTGAACCTGTCAGGTAGAACTTAGGAAGACTCTTGGACTCTAAAACCTGGCCAGGCAAACATGATCACAGAAAAAAGGTAGCCAGTAGCCAGCAGGAATGATAGTCTCTTAAAAAAAAAAAAATCTTCAAGAATGAGGGCCCTGCCATCTATTTCAGAGGGCTCAATGGTGAGGTGACCTTAGCAAGAGGTGAAATTTGAGAGGAGAAATCCAGTTTTATGATCTCACCAAAAGGAATTGATAGCGGGGCTGAAAAGAAGAAAGATCCCCCATAAAATAGGTATCACATGTTTTTTCATGTTAATTTAGTGGAAAGCAAAGATTCTCTTATAACTGTGTAGTAAGTCACTTGAAGCATTAGAATTGCTCTTGTTATTATAACTATTAGTTATTGATTCAGGCACCATGCCAAGTATTTTATTTATAATATTTAATTTTTACCCTCACTTTCAAAGGAAGGTAGAGTTTGTCCCATTTTATAAGCAGCAGATTAGCTCAAGGTCACATGAAGTCAGCTATCTGACTTACTGGGCTAGCTGCTTCTAAATGAGTGGTCAAGTAAGGGCTTCAAACTAGATTTAATTATAATTCATATTAAAGGCATCTCAGGAAAAAAGGAATATGAGATATTAATAGGAAATGGGTAGAGATGGTCAAGAGTGGGTGAAATTAGCTTTTCTTGCAAATACTAGACTGCAGCGATTTTTTTTTTTGATATTGCATTAATCTTTACAACTTTTACGAAGTGTGCTCATTTTTATTAAAGTTTTAAATCCAAGGAGACAGTTGAAGTGATTGAATTTTTAACTTTATTGTAGTAGTTATTGTAAACTTACCAGAATTTACCAGAACAGCCGTTCAGAATTTTTCTTCTTTTAATTAGACTTCCATAAATAAGTTATAAATTTAGAAGTCCGAAGAGCAAGGTGAGGCTTTTTATCAGAGAGGACTATTTGTGCTGTGGATATGAATATAATGTATATAGTATATATTTATTTTCAAAGAAATAGTAGAATTTAAGGAATTATGAGTGCTTCAGGGTTAACTAGTTATTCTTCTGTGACCCTTTGCTCTTCTTCACAGATACTTTTTGTGCCTTCAGCTTCGAAAAGACATTGCCTCTGGCCGCCTGCCCTGCTCATTTGTGACTCATGCCCTCCTGGGCTCCTACACATTGCAGGCTGAGCTTGGAGACTATGACCCAAAAGAGCACAGCAGTATTGACCTCAGTGACTTCCAGTTTGCCCCTACACAGACTAAGGAACTGGAAGAGAAGGTGGCAGAGCTGCATAAAACCCACAGGTCTGTAGTTATCTCCTTGCTAGAGAGAGATTGGCCATGGTAGATTTAAATAGTTTGTCTTTGTAACCCTGGCTGGTTATTTGAGCATGGTTTCTGGGATTATCCAGTTTTTCCTTTTGGAGCGTCACCCAGACCCATCAAGACAACCTGTAACCTTTGAGATATTCTTTCAGTGTTTTTATGACTATATAATATGAGAGTTGTGTGCATGAAACTAAATTGCCTTTATTTTTGGTAAAAATGTACTTTTCCATGTGACATTTTCTTGTCTCTTTCCCCAGTTTTATCCCTTAGCATATGTACAGGAAGCAAATATACCCACATATTGTTGGCATTTACATTTCTTCCCTTTCAATTATTTTTATTACTGTATTTGATAAGAAAGCCCGGGGAATAATGAGTCCTTGGGGTTTGAGTAAAAGTGTGGGTGATGATGGATGTAGGAATAGTAACTGAAGGTGTACCATGATTCCATGATCCTCAGATGTCGCCCTTTAATTTAAGTAAGGATTACTTAATAGCATATACATTTGGAGTAAGAATATATATGTGCAAAAAGACAATGGCTATTTACACTAGTTTTTATAACTCTAGCTATAAAATTATAAATTGTTTTATGTTGTAAAACTAGTATTAAAATTGTGAGTGAAATAATTTGAAAGGAACTTTAAGAGACTGAGAAGTTTTAAATGGGCCACATTCATGACTTTGCTTCAAAAAAATGATAGAGTATTTGACTCTAAATATTTTCTTGTGAATTTTATTTGCATTCTATTCAACAGACAATAGAGTACCAGGTACTAAAATGCCATGGGTAATATGAAGACTCATGGGACCTAGTTTTGTCTGCCAGAAGCTTAAAACTTGTTTAGTTGGGGAAATAGGATGGAATGGAAATAATTTTGGAATGAAAATAATATTAGTGTGGACAGAATATGATGTGTTATTTATCATAGGTATAAAGTCAAATACAAGTAATTCTGGTCTGTCTTATGATTAAGTCTAGCAAAATTAAACTGAGGAATTAAATAGTCTATTCACTATATTTTATTCTCAGTTAACTTATGTTGTGCCTGTTATTCCTAGAGCTTTTTTCCTTAGTGGAAATAATCAAAAGCATCATTTTAAGATAAAAAGGACAAGGATGGACATGTGCCTCCTTGCAGACAGTCAGTTAAGATTAGAAAATCTTGAGGAAATGCTAGAGATTCAGAGATGAATCTCCTTACCTGTTCCCCATGTCTAGGCAAATTTAGCTGCATTACTGCCTCTAACCCAAACACTCCAAGATCACACATCCTTTCCCCCATTTTGAATACATTTATTTTTCATCTACCAGTAAGACAATGCTGTTTCTTTTCATTCTTAGGGGGTTATCTCCAGCACAAGCTGATTCTCAGTTCTTAGAAAATGCAAAGAGGCTTTCCATGTACGGTGTTGATCTACATCATGCCAAGGTAAATGCATTGAGGAGTAGCTTTACTGCAGTCTATTAACTGAAATTTTGAAAAGGTTCCAGTGTTAGAATAGTCTAGCTTGCTTTGGAAAGAGGCTATTATATTATATTAGCCTTCACTTCAGGGTCTTTGTAATGTTTCTTTGGTGATTAATTATGAGGTTCATGGTTGTGGGAGACATTGTTTATTCTCCTGTATTTTCTTCTTTTCCTTGTCTTTCATTAGTACCCTTTCATTGATACTTACCATAAGACTCACTTTGTCAGCCTTTCCACCCTTGTCCTCTTACCCTGGTTAGTCTGAGTCAATTTTTGCTAGTCCAGATGCTGCGCTATTGCAGCTTCCTCTCTTTTCTGTTTAGGAAGGAGTGTGCAATTCTTAGCAAGTATGAAAGGGCAAAAGCAGAACAGCTATGACTGCCTTCCAGAAAGCTCATGGATTGTGAAGGAGACCTCCTAGATTTGGGATTTTCCCTGTGTGAAAATAAAGTGGGAGGCTCCAGGTGATGAAAAACCTTCAGTCTAATTTCAGAGGTAGTAAAAGAATGGAATAATAGAGACAGGTGATAGGATAAGGTGAGTTAGTAACAGGTAACAAATATTACCTACTTCTTGATTCCAGCTTAGATGATCACACAGTGATGAGAATTTAGGAGGAGAATGATAGACAAAGTCAAAGACAAGTTTGGTTTTGCAAAATATATACATTCAATACACTGAGAGAGAGAACCTCTGGTTGCCTGCTTTTAAAGGATCCTGCCAATCTCTAGATGTACCATAGAAAGACCAGATTACATGATTTGAGAAATCTCCAGAAAAGCTCCTACTCAAATATAACTTTTCTCCCTGGGCTTCAAATTTGTAATTCTTACTTTTTTGTTATTAATCATACTTTATATTTGCAAGGCACTCTTTTGTCCTCAGCAACTTCCTTTATTTTAAAAGTATTTTTTCTTATCAAAAAAGCAATATGGGGTTGGGGTGTGGCTCAGTGGTAGAGTGCTCACCTAGCACCGGCGAGGCCCTGGGTTTGATCCTTAGCGCCACATAAAAATAAGTAAATAAAATAAAGGTATTGTGTCCCACTGTAACTAAAAAATTAAAAATATTTTAAAAAGCAATACATGTTTATCACAGAAAATAGAGGCAATCAGAAGAAAATAAAAATCACTTAAATCTCTTTATGCAGGAATAAGCAGGTAGGTTTTGATACATTTTATTTTTTTCATCTCTGAATAGTTGAATTCTCATGCTTTTTAAAAATGGAATCATATTACAAGTTTCACTTTTTTCAAAGTTTTTTTTTTTTTTAGTTGGATACAATATTTTATGTGGTGCTGAGGATTGAACCCAGGGCCTCATGCATACTAAGCGAGCGCTCTACCACTGAGCCACAACCCCAGCCCCTGTTTTTTTTTTTTTTTTAAACTGCATAAAGACGTTTTTTTTTCCTATTAGTGAATAGACACTGACAGTATCAATTTTAACTGGTAGATGCTGTATTCCTTTAATTTAAAAAAGCATTTGCACACATACTAACTTAAAATTTGAATGTATTTATTTTTATAACTATATAAAACACATTGAAGAGAATGATTTACCCAAAGTCATATATTTTGAAGCAGTCCCTTTGCCTGATACCTTTTGATAAATCCTACTAGAAGATGAAATTCAGCCTTCTAGTGCTTGAGTGTGTTTTGCCTTATTTTCTATATGGTGAGGATAGGCTGGAGGTTAGACAAGAAACAGCAATAAGGGAGGTAGGAGAGAATATGTTTGGGAGCAGATAGATACCGCACCTCGCTGGCACATCTGCTTTTTTGAAACTTGTTACTCTTGCCATATTTCTTTCTCTTTTTTTCTAGTGCTGAGGATTGAGCATGGCTTCATGCATGGTAGGCAAGCACTCTACAACTGAGCTACAACACCCGCTATATAATTCTTATATCTCTTTTTTTTTACTCTGTGGATCATTAGTTAGAAGTTGATTCATAGATGGCAGTACTATACGGTTTTAGGATTCTTGTTTTTCAGTGCTGTATCTTAGAAAAGTACAAAGGTCGCATACTCTATTACAAGTATGATGGCAGTTTTTGCTAATGTAGTTAGTTAGGAGCAGAATGCTGTTAAAAAAAAAAACCTAGAGTACTATTTGTATCATTTATTCATTCTGTTTATCATTTCTTAGACTCCTTTAATAATATTTGATAAGCATGATTTGTGACTCATGGAAGAGAATAGATGTAACAGTTTAAAGGAACTTTTCATGTAGATTAAAGTTTTGTACTTTTCTAAAATATTTCTTGCTGCATTGAGATACGATTTTGTTTCTTTTTTATTTTAAGAGTTCTTAATGGCACACTCAAGTTGGGATAAGTTGAAGAGTGTTGACTAGAGGATTCTTGACAAAGGGGAGTGGAAACCACAAGAGTGCTATTATAATCCCTCAGCTGTTAATATCAACCCATATATATATATATATATATATATATATATATATATATATATATATATATATTTTATTTGTGGTGCTGGAGATTGACCCCAGGGCCATTAATATGCTAGGCAAGCACTGTATCACTGAGCTATACCCTCAACCCAACAGCATCCTTCTTGATCCTGTAGGTCCAAAGGGGACAGGGCAAAGAGTGGTTACCAAAATCCAGAAGGAGTGATGTGTCTGGAGAAGGCTGTCTTTAGAGGAGCCCTCATAGAGGGACACAGCCAGCTTCATGTGACCACACAGGGAGGGGATCTGGTTATAAAATCCCAGACTTCCCTGAACTTTGCAATAACTCATCATAACCTGAATCTACTAGACATGGGATCCTATTGGTGTCCTTATGGAGAAGCTTCTTAAAGGAGCAATGAACAAGGCAGGGAGGTTGCTCCTTTTTATTCAGTCTTTTTTTTTGACTTGGTTGCTGAGTGGTATAACTCAGACCTGGAGGATTTAGACATGCTTTTTTTCCTTTTCATTTTATTCCTTTTCTCTCTAATTTCTATTCACACAAATAATTACTGATCATTCTAAAACAATAAGTAAAACAACCAAAAATCAACCCATTTACTTGAATAAGGGTGGTGTTTATTTTTAAGCCAGATAAAATAGCTTCCTTGTCCTATCTGAAGATTGCTACAGACCAGAGATGGCTTTGTTCAGTGTTTCAAATGAGGGTTGCTCCGGGTTGTGGTGAGAACATGCTATCTTAGGCCATCTCTCGCCTTGCTCCCTCTGGCCATGGGCAGTGAAGTTTTTGGCAAACACACCCTTTGGGTCTGGAGCCAAGTAGCTTGGGCACCTGGGCCTAATTCACTGCAGCTTTTTATGCTTTATTCCTAGAGAGTTATGGCTGCCAGGTAAGTACAAGTAAAGCATCATATAAGGTAATTTCTCTTTTTTACAGTCTGTTCTATATGGTGAGGATAGGCTGGAAGTTAGCCAAGAAACAGCAATAAGGGAGGTAGGAGAGAATGTGTTTGGGACCAGATAGATAACCCACCTCTGTTCAGGTTGGTCTCACATAACTTTATTTTGTGCTTGTATATCAGTTTCAAGAGTCACAGCAGATAAAGAAATTACATCAGTTGCCTAGTACTATACTTTTATTTTAAAATATTTTCTATGGGCTGGGATGTGGCTCAAGCGGTAGCGCGCTTGCCTGGCATGCGTGCGGCCCGGGTTCGATCCTCAGCACCACATACAAAGATGTTGTGTCTACCGATAACTAAAAAGTAAATATTAAAATTCTTTCTCTCTCTCTCTCTCCCTCCCTCTCTCACTCTTTAAAAAAATATTTTCTAATATAAATTGTGTTTTATTTTTAGTATGAGAGTCAAAATGTTAAGCTTTTCATGAATTGGGATGTAGGCTAAATATGATAATTGTCCCAGCTTTTTTTGTGAGAATTTGTTCCAACTTGTTAATGATTTCTGAAAATGTGAATACCTCTGAAAAATACATGCCAGTTTTACATATCTTGAATGTGATCCCCTTCAGGATAAACCGTGATGTGTGAATTTTGAATATTGTGCATATTAGGTCTTCAGCACTACTTGAAGTATGAGGAAACTGTTTTTCACTTTTGTCTAAGTTTGTTTCAAAAAAATCTTTCAGGCTCGAGATGATTTTACATTGTCATATATTTCAAATTAAAGATCTGGGGAAAAGAAAAGAAGTTCAAGAGTCTGTAGTCCTCTGAAATATGCTGGTCAAAGGAGTGCTAAATGAGAACTGGATGCTGTCAGCACTTATAAGTTATTGAAAAATAGCTTGAAAGAATTCGGAGATTTCTGTTTCAATGCTGTCAGACTAGAGGAGAAGTTTCTATGAGGGTTTGCTGTTTTGCCAAGTTTAGTCATAATTTTAACAGCTATTGGCTAGCATTATTCATCTGAGATAAAGTTGAAAGTTGCCTAAAGTCAAATGGCTGAGCATACCTTAGGAAGGCCAACAGACTGACCTGAGGGCTGGAGTATCCTCCAGGGAACATATTATATCATCCAGATCTTCAAGATATCTAAAGCTACTTCTGTTTCCCTTCTTTCCTGTTAGCTCTTCATAGAGCTTGAGAATGTATGGATTAGGCCTTTTGAAGAATCCTGTGTTCTATAATCATGTTGTAATATTTCTTTGGCAAAGCAAACCTGAATCCTAAAGATGAAGATTTAAAATATACATGTGTTCTCTTAATTTATGTACCTGCACTAACATTTTAAATAGAAACCTGTTAAGTTGGCATTCCTGATCATGGTTTGAGAGGGGCTAGTCAGCCCCCTGATCTGTATAACTATTGTAGTTCTAATTTTGGTCACATGAATTATGCTTGGCAGGACTCAGAAGGCGTGGACATCAAGCTAGGTGTGTGTGCTAATGGGCTCCTCATTTATAAAGATAGACTGAGAATCAATCGTTTTGCTTGGCCGAAGATCCTAAAAATTTCTTATAAGCGCAGTAACTTCTACATTAAAGTTAGGCCAGCAGAGGTAAGTAATGTCCTTGTCATATCGAATCAGTTATCAGTGTTTCCTTTAATTAAAAAGAGCTAAATAAATTATTTTTCACAAAGTCATGAGGATAAGAAATATTCTTTATTCTTCTATGGTAAAATGGTCAGGGCTTCTTGATAAATCTGTATAAGCATGTTCCTCTAGTTAAATGGATTCAACCACCATGTCTTGCACAGCAAGAAAAAGTAATATATGTCTGGCACATAGTAGGAACTCATTTCTTCTTTTTGAATCAGTTAAGTGGTGGAGTAAATAGAAAGGTGGAAAAATGCATTTTAGTGGACATTAAGAGTAGCGTGTATGTGAGTAGTAGATACTTGCTTGTCATAGAAAATAGTATTGCAATCTATGAAAAATTCATTTTGTCTGTTATTAGATATATATGCCTTTCTGAAGAAGAATTCCTACAGAAACAACTAAATCCACGTTTATCAGTAGCTTCTAGTCAGAGCTTAAGGAGATATGCTAATTCATTTTATGGATTTGTTCCAGCTGGAGCAGTTTGAGAGCACCATTGGGTTCAAACTGCCAAACCATCGGGCAGCAAAGAGGCTATGGAAAGTGTGTGTGGAGCATCATACTTTCTACAGGTAACTTAAAGAAGTCACTTTGGAATTGCTATTGGTGCCCTCCATGGATCAGGAAGTGGTAGTGGCTAGTATAGCAGATGCATCAACCCCTGCCTTAGGGTTCTTTGCTTTCCTTGGTGCCACATCTCATCTGTCACATGTAGTCTATTCCCCTGTCCTTTTCTGTTGCCTAAGGCTATGCTGTGATCTGTCTTTGCAGTTGCCCAAAACTTTACCCTTTCCTTCCATAACCACCATACTACTCCCTGCCTGCTGCTGTTCATTCCGCTATCACTCATCTTAGGTTTGATTTAGATGTTGTCATCAGCTCCCTCACTTCACCTCTTGCCCAAACCAGCCTGCACTCTGTGGTCTGTCCCTTAGGCAATATTTTCAAGAGTGCTATAACCTCTGCCCTCTTTCCATATCCAGTTTCCTAAGCTGGTACTGGATTAGTTCTGTGTACCCATTAATTCCCACCTTACCACTTCTGTACCTGTGCTGTTAAGTGCCATCTTAAGTTGAACAACTAGGGTGATACAAGGAGCTCTTCATTATAACAGAACACATCTCTGTGGATCAATGCTATTACAGATAAATAATTTCTCACATTAGTTGGATTCTCAGTGCTCCTAAACAATCAGTCTTTTCATGCCTTTTGACATCCCCAATATTACTATTCTTCTAGAGTCCCCAGGCTCACTTGCCTTTTCCCTCAGGTACTCCCCATTGTGTTGTGTGCTTAGAGTAGAAATTTAAGTCATGAGCACCTTTTCTTCTGCACTTTTTCTTGTAATTAGGAATTATTTCCCTTCCCTGCATTCATTGTTTTACTCCTTTCCTGTCCCAAGAAAAGGATAGTTATTCCTTTGCTTAAACCTTTATTTCATGCCTCACAAGAGGATCCTGCCAGGTAAATTTTTTACTTTCTAGTGGGTGCCTTTGACTTTGGCCAATGAATATATTTATGTCTTGCTCTGTTAAGAACCAAAAAGTCCCCAGATGACCATCTTTAGTTTGTATCCTGCCTCCTTTTGTACTTTTCTTCAGCAGCAGATTTTTAACAAGTAGTTTGGTTACCTTCATTTCCTCCATTTTCTGTTACTGTGGTCTGCAGAACTGTGTATGCTAGGCCCTTCATTTTAAAGATTTTTGCTATGGAATTAGGGTCTGATAAGGTTCCACCACTGTCTATCTTTGTAACTGGTTAGTTCCTCAACCTCTTTGTGCTTCAATTTTATCTTCCACATGAGATGCTAATAATAGTAATATGTACTTATTGGATTGTTTTGAAATTCGAATGAGATTATACATGTGAAACAAACTCAGAACCATTTCAGGTGTATAATAATGTTTATCATTATCACCATTGCCACCACCATCACCATCACCATCGCCCTCATGCCATCATTATTAATTTGGTACCATAGTGTGCTATTTTTAAAAGTGAATTGTCAGTACAAACAACTCCTTCTTGAGGTTAAATTGAATAGATTTGTTTTCGAAACTGTTTTAATATACCCAAGTTAGAGGAGAAATATAAATCATAAAATATCCTTGAATCACCTTGACTCAGTTAAACTGATCATAGATAGCTTTGAAAAATTTGGTTTCTCTTGGTAGCCATAACATTTCTCTCTATGAGACCCATGAGCCACTCATATAAAGCCAGTATAAAACTTTGTGTCATATAAGTCTAGGCTGGACAGACAGCAGTCTTCCCTATAATGATAAAAGCAATAATCCTTTTAGAAATGACAAATGCTAACATTCATTCCTTGAGCATTTACAATTGTCAGACACATAATCCATTGCTTTATATTGCAGCAACTCATTTGTTCCTCACCACAGCAGAAGGAAACTGATGCTCAGAGGCAGGTAGCAGCAGGTGCCCAAGCAGAGTTGGGGGCCTGGCTCTCTGACTCCAAGTCACACATTCCTCATTCTGCTCTCTCCTCCCTCTCATATGGTTCTAGCAGGAGCTTTTGTTAGCCCTGCAAAAACCTCAGAGTCCCTCCATCTTTTTGACTAATGAGTCACTGACTCCATTCTAAAAGTAGACTGATCCATTCCTACAAACTTTTAAGGTAATGGTTAGCAGAAGTATTTTTATATTTATAAACCTTCATAATGCTTCTAAAGCTATATGTATCTTAACATAGAAAGGGCAAATCATAATATATCTGCAGAGTACTTTAAAATAGATCAGTGGATTATGTTTTTAGTTTATCATAAAAGATGCATATTTTTTTAGAAAATTATAAGGCTTATGGATTGAAGCTATTAAAAAATAAACTGATCTTTCTATTCATTGAAGGTTAACCAGACTAATATTAGTGAAACAAAGATGTAAAAATAAGGTTGCTACCATTGCTTGAACATTTTATAGAGCCTGTCACTATTCTAAGTGCTATATAGGGATTAATTTTTTTTAATCTTTACTACACATTTTATGGGGCAAGTGCTATTATTTTCTCTTAACAGAAGTTAAGAAGGATACCCATGGCTATGTAGGTAGTAATGTGTGGAGATGGAATTCAAACCCCAGGCACTGTGGTTCCTGGTGTTCATATGTGTATATGCTATGCCATGCTACCCATTTACATCTGCAATGAATGTGTCTTCCTGTCTTTTTTTCCCCCAGTGCTTTTGTTGTTGTTCTATATGTATGTGAACAAGAAATAAGCGTGAAGTTCTTGTAGCTGGATATTAAACTGCCTTTTAAACTTGGCATCATAGAACCAGAATAATCTCAAGCATATTGGTGCCACCAGTTTCACCAGAGAGCTTTATGGAAACCTATACACTAATCATGATTAACTTTAGTAATTTATATGTGGCTTTTCTTAAAATGGTAGGGTGTTATAAAACTAAATTGGTAATATTCTTTTTGAGCAGTGAAATATGTAAAGGTTGAGTTCCTTTTTGACACATCATTACTTACATCATCTTGCCCAAGGTCTTTAATACTTTGCAAAAGTTTGCAGCTTTATATTCTTGAAAGTGAGTAGTCAATGTCTTTAATAGTTTTGATGTTATTCTTGTGAAGATAGGGTCCCATGACAACACTGATGGACATAATTAAGTATTCTTGAAGTGATAGTATTAAAATATTTTGTTACTTTGCCTACATTTTCTTTCAAAATGTATTTACTTCTGACTTCAGTCATGAAAAAGTTCAGAGAAAGATAACAAATGCTTGTGTTAAATCCTTTTGTTTTGACATTTCTTTCCATATAGTTGCATCCTAATTACTCAAGACTTCATTCTTGGAAAGCAATCTGTAAGCTAACGTTTTGTATATGTGGCTACCAGTGCTGGTTAAAAAAGATAGTATTTCATCCCTATTTGAAATAAAAGTTCATCTAATTATGATTTTCCTTCTTTTGTATTATGATACATATTTTTCTTATATTTCTTGTAGATATTGTGTTATGCATATATGAATATATGTGTATATAGTAGACTATCTTCTATAAAGATGTTCTGGTGGATGATTATTCTGGCATTCATTTAAATGGCAATTAACCATATGTCCATTTCCTTAAAAACAATCTCAAGAAATATGATTCTATAGAATTATTCTCATTAGATAGATATCCTAGTGTTATGGTTTAGATATGAGGTGTCCCCCAAAATCTCACGTGTTAGACAATGCAAGAAAGTCTAGAAGTACAATGATTGGGTTATGAGCCTTAACCTATTCAGAATATTAATCCAATTGAATGGATTAACTGAACTGGGTGGTAACTATAGTCAGATAGGGTGTGGTGGAGGTTGGGAGCATACCTTTGAGGTATATAATTTTGTCTCTGTTGAGTGGAGCAGTCTCTCTGCTCCTCAATTTCATGTTCTGAGTTCCTTTTCTCCTCCATACCCTTCCTCCATGGTGTTCTGCCTCATCCCTTATCCAGAATAATGGAGTTGGCCATGTCTAGGCTGAGACTTTTGAAACTGTGTGCACCAAAGAAACTTTTCCTACTGTAATTGTTAATTGTCAGGTCTTTTGGTCACAGTAGTCAGAAAAACCTACTGAAGCACCCAATCTATGTAAATAAGAGGTCATCTTTAGAGTTATTTTAAAAAGACTTTAATTAAAATTAATCATTTTGTGTTTTATCGAATTAAAGTAGGACCATTCACTAGTGGTTCTTACAGTGTGTCAGAGGTTATTTGGCTTAACGCCAACTTTCTCCCCAAAATTTCTGATACAAGAAAACTCAGAAACTTTTCTTCAATGGTGTGACTACAACACCAAGAGAACACTGAAGAGCCAGGTGCAGTGGCACCTTCCGTAATCCCAGCTACTGGCTTGGTGGTGGTGTACCTTGAGCTCACACCAACCTGGGTAGCATAGCTGGAGCCTATCTCAAGAGAGGAAAGCTGGAGTAGGGGCTCACCTGTCATTTCAGCAGCTAAGGCAAGAGGATCAAAGTTTGAGGCCAGTCTCAGCAACTTAGCAACACTTTGTTTCAAAAAGTAAAAAGTGCTGGGGTTGTGGCTCAGAGGTTAAGCACCCCTGGGTTCCCCCCCCCAAAAAAAAAGAGAGAGAGAGTGAGAGTAAAGAGAGAGAGAGAACACTGCAAGAGATACATAAGCATAATCTTTGGAGTTTTCCAGATGCTTAGTACCCTCATGTAGTAAAAGATGAATGTGAGGTCCTCCTTTGTATTTATTAAGCACCTGCTGCATGTGAAGAAGTTACATAAACTAAAACTAGAAAGTTAGGAAAACACCAATGGGAATTGTCTTAAAATTTTTCTTTTAGTTGTGGATAGACATAATATCTATTTATTTTTATGTGATGCTGAGGATTGAGCCTAGTGCCTCTCACATGCCAGGCAAGGGCTCTACCACTGGGCTACAGCCCAGCCCAGGAAATTCCTTAAAAATGTTTTCTGAGCCTGAGCAGTTTTTTTTTTTTTTTTTGAGAGAGAGAGAAAGAGAGAGAGAATTTTTTAATATTTGTTTTTTAGTTTTCAGTGGACACAACATCTTTATTTTATTTTTATGTGGTGCTGAGGATCGAACCCAGTCCCCCGCGCATGCCAGGCAAGCGCGTTACCGCTTGAGCCACATCCCCAGCCTCCTGAGCAGTTTCAGATGGTTTTAAAATTAGTTCATTTTATAAAAGAAGATGGCAGGTTAAACCTTCAAAAAGATATATCCTTTTTTTTAACATACGTATTCTTAAAATATTTTCATATTTCCAAAAATCAGACATCCTGTTTGTAGTTTTAGAAATTTGTTCTGGAGATTGTCTTTGGGGTTGTCAATGCACATTTCTTATTTGAGGTATTCTTTAAGAATTTCTCTTTTTTGCTCTAGTTGATGACTCAGTATGTATATACTATACTTTATGAATAGACTAAAATAAAGATAAATGTGATGAGGCTAACCTGGTTTTTAAGGAGTGTAAGTATTTCCCAAACAATTGCTGCACTTACAAGCTTGCCAGAGACTCCTTACTCTACCCTTTTTCTTTTCTTTCTTCTTTCTTTTTTTAAATACTTTTTCAGTTGTTAGTGGACTTTATTTATATGTGGTGCTGAGAATTGAACCCAATGCCTCATACATGCTAGGCAAGTGCTTTGTCACTGAGCCACATCCCCACCCCTCTTTTATTAGTAGATCACTGTTTTCTCAGTGGAGAATTCTTAGATCGTATTTAGATGGATTTCTAAGTAGGGAATTCCTGCCATTCAGCCCATCAGGAAACAGTGCATGGCAAATGGTCTCGAATCTCTCATCCTAGTTGTCTGTTACTCACGATCAGCATGCTGGGAGTTTTGACTTCTCTGTGCCTCATGTCTCTGCTATTAGAGAAAAATAACTCAGAGCATGACTAGGGGGTTCTTTTTAGGTCCAAATTTCTACTGTTCTGGCAAGCTGTTTTAAGAATATGCACCTTTTTCTAAAGTACAATTTGAGGTACGCTTCTGATTCCTAAATGAATAGATTTAAGCCAAGAAAGTCAGAAATAAATCAACTTCATTCTAACATACTGTTTTTCTGGGTGAATACTGTTTTGCAAATCTTCAGTTGATTTGAGATTGCCTGTCTTATTTATTACATACTGGTTTTCCTTGACTTGGATCTCTTTATTGGACATTAAGCAAGAAGAGATTTCTATAAAATTTGAAGGTCTTCAAACACTTGAAATGATTTTTAAAAAATCTTTTATTAAGAAATCACTTTTCCTTAGAAAATGATAGGAAAAGTTTTGGTAGAGTTCTCCATACTCCTGAATTGTTAGTTAAGATCATATTTAATAAATTGTGTAAGAGCTCTGAGATAATTATTTTGTTAAGACATTTTATTAATTCTTGATCAAACAAGAAAATAAGACAATTTCAGTTGTATTCCAGAAAGATTGACTTATTTACTGAAAACATGTACAACTCTGGGAAGAAAGTTTACTTAATTAAAAACCCAGGGCTTGCATAGTAAAATTGTGCTGGCAGTAAATGATGTTAGTCATCTCTACAGATCCACTGTGTGTTCTGTTCTTCATGGGAAAGAATCACATGATGAAACAGATTCTCGAGTTAAATGTTTTTCCCCAGGAAAAACAGGCATAAATATTAAGAATTACTAATGGTAATGGATTGCTACTTGGCACTTATAGCTAGGAGCAAGAATTCAGACATATGTGTTTATATAAATGATTTAATCTAATACAAATAAATAACCCTTGATATACACTGAGAACAGCTGCTCTTTCACTCTGGTTGAGAAAAATATTTTTCATGAGTACATGAATGTGGCTTTATATCACCATCATAGAGCTACATATATATATAGGAGGGTTTAAAAATAATATTTCTTTTTATTATAAGTTAGGTAGCATTGTTTTGAATATACTTAAAATTAGATAATACTAAAATATATAAAATTAGATACTAAAATATATCATTTTAATTAAAAAAAAATCTGTAAATCTAATTTTGCTCCCTGTTTTCCCCGCTCCCCTCAAGGCTTGTGTCTCCAGAGCAGCCACCAAAGGCCAAGTTCCTGACCTTGGGGTCCAAATTCCGCTACAGTGGCCGTACACAAGCGCAGACCCGCCAGGCAAGCATCCTCATAGACAGGCCAGCGCCACACTTTGAGCGCACCTCTAGTAAACGGGTCTCTGGGAGTCTAGATGGAGGTAAATACATTTATGATATTTTTGGATTTCATTCCTCTTTCTCTAATTCATTGTGGTCACAGAATGTTGAACTAGTTAATAAAATCATCAGAAATACCCTAGAGGAATAGCCAATTTTTTCCTCAGTAAACAAAATGCTATTATACTCAGAATAAAATAATTTTGTAGTGTTTTGACGTCATTCTCATTTGTGTTCATTAGATGTTGGATGGACATGTTTTTATTTACTTGATTGTGGTTTGTTTTATGTGGTTTGATTTCTTGAACTTATTAATGATGAAATATAATTCTAAGGTTTTTTTTGTATGTCAGTATATGAAATTTCATTCAAATGAACATAAAACATTTCTAGCACTATCTAATGTTGGATTACTCTGATGAAGTTTACCAAACTTTCCTGTGTATGTCTTTAAAGGATTAGTTTTAAAAGAAATATAATGTGTTCATATGTTCTTTAAGCTCAGAGGAATTATGTATAGTCGTGTGTTTTTCCATTGGCATTCTAATAAGCTACATATTATAGTTGATTTATGTAAATTATATGTGGAAGTAAGTTGATGTTGCTTTTAAAGATCTCTATCTACCCACCTCCCCTTCTCCAATCTGGGATTTATCCCAGGGCTCTTAACAACCGATCCACATACCATGCACCCCCCTCCATTTTTTTGTTACATATAGAGACAGGGTCTTACTGAGTTTCTTAGGGCACTAAGTTGCTGAGGCTTGCTTTGATCTCTCTATACTCCTGCCTCAGCCTCCCAAGCTGCTGGGATTATAGGCATGTGCCGCCATGCCTGGCTATGTATCTGTCTTATTACCTGGTCTTTGTGGAATTAATAGTAATAGTAGATGCCCTATAAAAAAAAGCTAAGGTTATGTCAGGCGCAGTGGTGCACGTCTGTAATCCCAGCGGCTCGGGAGGCTGAGATAGGAAGATCTCAAGTTCAAAACCAGCCTCAGCAAAAAGTGAGATTCTAAGCAACTCAGTGAGACCCTGTCTCTAAATAAAATACAAAATAGGACTAGGGATGTGGCTCAGTGGTTGAGTGCCCCTGAGTTCAATCGCTGGCACCCCCCCCCCCCCCCCCGCCAAAAAAAAAAAAAAAAAAAAAAAACCCACCTAAGGTTAGGGATAAGGGATAAGGGGGTGTGTACTCAGTGGTAGAGCACTTGCCAGCACGTGTGAGGCACTGGGTTTGATCTCACCACCTCATTAAAAAATGAATAAATAAAAAGTTATTATATCCATCTACAACTAAAATTATATTTTTAAAAAAGCTATGGTTAAGTTTGTACTAGAATGCTTTATGAAGGACTTATTTTTACTGTGTAATGGAAATGGGTATGATCATTTTTCTACCAAAGAAGAAATAGTTTTCCAACGTTTTCATTTACATTTGATAGCAATTTGCAGTTCAAAAACATTATTTACTATTGTTGTTTAGTAAAACTCCCTTTTTTATTATTATACTTTGTATTTTTCTAAAATATGAATTTGAATAATTTGTATTTTAAATAATTAGGTGAAATGGACCAACCAAACATATGTAGTCAGATAAAAATGCTCTTTAGTGTGAAGTGTTGATGCTCACTGGCCTTAATTACTTTTCCTAGAAAAAAATTTAGAAAATACAGGCCGACACAGGTCTTTCCCAGGATTTGTTGGTGAGAATTTTTTAATATATAGTTACTAGATCTTAAGTCCAGAGAGTCTTCGTAAAATCTTATGAGACCACACAAAAAAATGCAAGGGAACCATAACTGTACTTCAAATGAGTGTCTATATTTCCAAATGTAGTGATTTAAATTCAATGAATTATTAATCAACACCTGAGCACTTTTCCAAGTAAATCTGAAAATGTGCCAGCTCATGTAAATATTTCTCATGTCTTTCCCCTTGCCACAGAGAATTTATACAAGTGCTAAATAAATGCAATCACTGTTGTTTAATGCCCTGAGAGAACTCATTGCTCTTTCTAGAACACTGTCTGTCTTCAGCCTTTGTTTTAAATTGTGAGGCTCTCTAACTTTTATATTGCAAGTGTTAGACTTTTAAAGAGCAGTAAACCAGTATATTTTCTTTGAGGTATATAAACCATGCTCAGGGAAACCCACCATCTGTTTGGGCAGTTAATGCAGAGGGTTGTAGGAAGCTGTATCTGAAAACAATGATTTTTACAAGTAAAAGCTACAAACATGGCATAGTAATCCATTATTTTTCCCTTTGTGTTTTGGACACTGTAATTCATCAGATGGGCAAGTCATCAAAAGGATTATTGTGTTATCTTGAAAAATAGGAGGCTTTTCATGCCAGTACATGACTAGACAGCCAGAAAACTCTTTGGTTAAGGCTTATGTTCTCCTTTTTTTCCCCTAAAGCAACACTAGTCTGTAACCTGGTACTGAATATTTTCTTCACCATCTTCATCGGTATAACTTTTGTTGTTGTTGACATATTTTGTATTTTCTTTTTTTTCAGCTTACTTTTTGAAGTAGGCTAGAATAATTTAGATATATAAATAATCTTTTACTTTAAAGTTTGGCAGATTAAATCTTCTAGTGATTATATGAAAAGTACAAATCAGTGAGATAGCTGAAGACCAAATACAAAATAAAAACCAGTCTAGAACAGCTGTTTTAATTTAAAACAGTGAGACTCTTCTGAGATTAGGAAATTAAACCTAAAAGGAAGCAAATCATTCATGTAAGAGCACTAACAACCAAGATGTATTTGGGGGAGCCACTGATTTTCTGAAAGTGGAAAATATAATAAGCAGGGTCACTACTTACATAGAGTCATCAGGGAAGGAAGGCCTATTGGAGGAAGAACCAGTTCACTTAGAATTTGAAGGATGAGAGGGAGGCAGCCAAGAGAAAGGGGGAGATGCTAAACCATTCTAGGTAGCAGAAGTGGCAGGACTGAAGATTACAAGGTGAGGGAGAGCATTCCAGAAACAAAAAGAATGCAAGCCTAATCAAAGGTTAGTAAGTGCCTGGAGAGGTGGGTTGTGGTCTGGCCATGCAGGTCCTTGCAGGCCATGATAAAGAATGTGGATTTTATTCTACGTGCTCTTGGAAACCATTGAAGGGTATGGAGCACAGAAGAAAATGATTTTTATTTTTCAAAAAAATCATTTGGTAGAAGAAAACAATTAGGATGGAGACAGGAGGTAAGCATGCTGGTTAGGAATAGTCCAAGTGAGAGTGATGTTGCTCTTACTCTGAATGGAAGTAGTCCAGTTAGCTATGCCACACTCTAGGTTAGGCTCAGTACCTCGGCCTACAAAGCTTCTCAAGTTCTACAAAAGTGTTAAAAACCTGAAAAAATTTTTGGCTCCTAAATACAAAAAGAAAACTGCAACCTGAAATTGTTTAAAAGGCATTCATTCATATTTCAGTAACATTTCCATTTGACACCATTTCTAAGTCACATTTTCACATTTTGCAGTAATTCCTGACTCTCATGGGTGCTTAGAAATCTTAATCAACTGTGTGTGGTGCCTCACACCTGTAATCCCAGAAACTCAGGAGACTAAAGAGGATCACAAGTTCAAAGCCAGCCTCAGCAGTTTAGCAAGACCCTAAGCAACTCACTGAGACCCTGTCTCTAAATAAAATACAAATAGAGCTGGGGATATGGCTCAGTGGTTGAGTGCCCCTGAGTTCTATCCCCAGTACTCCCTCTCCCCAAAAAAGAAATTATAATCATAAGAGATCATGCACAGCCATATATTTTCTAAGAGAAAATTAGTAAAATCTTGTCAAAAGTTTAAAAACAACCTCTGGAAAATAAGCATATGTGATATAAAATATGAGTGCATTTTAATATTTGATGATTTGGTGTAGGCTTTCAAAAGTATGAGTACTTATGGGCTCAAAAAGTCTTAAAAGATGAGATGTTAGAAATAGAAGTGGGAAGAACTGCTACATTTAGAAATATGTTTAAGGACGCTGTTGGGCCTGCTGTGTTCAGAAATAAAGGAAGATTCCTAGAAGACTTCTAGGTTCCTGGCTTGAGCAAATGGGTACAAGTGTGAGTAGCATTTGATGAAAGATGCAAAGGAAGATGCAAATTTTAGACAGAGCAGGTGAGCAGTGGTGAGGGTGTGTAGACTGTGATACATAGATTCATAGTACTGATGACTTCCAAGTTCAAGATGGTCAAGCACTATTCTTCAAGTACTTGCAGCATCAGGGATTTTTGTGTGTTATTGGGCTTCCTCTGGGACAAGGAACCAGAGCAAACCGCATGGTATCAGTAAAGCACTTTTTATACAAGTGAAAGGACCTCATGGGAAGTCATATTTGGGATGGAGCTAAAGATAGAGATGATCACCTGCTACTCATTTTGCCTTGTTGAAGTTTCTTGGGTTGATGTGCAGTGTGATAAAAACTTTGCACTTAATACATGTTTTTGCCTAACTTTGGGAGAGATGAAGGGGGCACATAAAGTCTGGGTTTGCTGAGGCAGTGGTGGTTTTATCTGTGTATTAGATTTGCTGTAGGTTAGGTTGAGACGAACAGGAGAGGAGTGTTAGTATAATGATAAATATTTAACATGAACAGAATTTAAATTCTTAACATTTACTGTCTTCTGGTGCTCAAAGTAAAGGTTCCTTAGTGAACGACTTCTTAAAACTTATTATATCAAATCATTTTAATAATTAGATAATTATTTATTATAATAGGTAGATTCAGAAATAAATCTAGACGAGACCAAAGAGACCCAAGAGAATTAAAGTATTGGTTACATTTTTCTGACATTTTGCCTTGACTCTGGTTCAGTTCAGCTGGTCTGAGAGCTCCTCCTACTGGTCAATTCCATTGTTGAAGCATATCCTTCAAAAATCTGATGAGACCCTGTGTGGTTCAGTGGGGTAAATTCAAAATACTGTTAGATTTTGGTAAAAGTTTAAAAATGAGCTTATTTTATATTCTGATATTTTCAGAGATCAAGCAGTATTTTTATTTCTGTTAGTTGTATATATGCTGCCTGTTTATTTGAGAGGGAAGTATTCTGCGTAAAGCTTTACCTTTTATATATCTTACAGTAATCCAAAATTATCTTTTTTTTTTTTTTTTTTACCAGCTCCAATTGGTGTTGTGGACCAAAGTCTTATAAAGGATTTTCCTGGACCTGCTGGGGGGATTTCAGCGTATGGCCCAGGAGTTGTCAGCACTGCCATGGTACAAGATAGGGACAGCCGGAGGGATGTCAGAAGCCCATCTAAAGCCCCACATTTGCAACTCATTGAAGGAAAGGTATGGCAAATTAGTAAAATACATGGTTTTAAATGTGTATGTGGACCAGAGGCTATCTGGTTCATTTTCAGATATCAAATATTTTAAAATTATCATTGTTCTATATTGTTGTAAATTCCCAGTTTTCAAATATGTGTATGCTCCTGCTGGTTGTGACTGTGATTTCTAACCATGTTTTGGTTGTTGTTGAAAGCAAAATATTGCATTGTAAATTATATTAATGCAAGTAAGTAATTCACTGGTCTTTCTGGCTTTGTAATAATCTTGTTAATTGAATTACCATCCTATAGAAGCTATGATGATTTGAAAATTATATTTGGTTTGTTCCAAGTAATTTTAAAGTATATAGCCTCTGTCTTGATTAATTATGTTGACTTGAATTTCTAGACATACACAAAGTGATCTTGTGTTTTTCAATGATAATCTGTAAGTGCCTTAGGAATTCCTGCATCAGTAACCTCTAATGCCCAGCACAGAGGTCAAATGCTTCATGTAGTAGATGACTCAAATCATTTGTATTCCATTATTATAAGTTTTGGGACTATCACCTTGAAAAATTATTTTGTTAAAAATAACAGAAATTGTGTCCCACAAGATAACTTTCAACTGCTGGAAAATGATCAGAATTTTTAAAAATAATTATGATAAGGAGGCACCTTAGGAGAGTGACTACTTACATGTGAAACAGAAGAGCATGGCATTTCAGCAAGTTTCTGTTCCATTTATTAAATAATTTGACATATCTAGTTTTTTAAAAAATTTTTTTCTTGTGTATCATAAAGACAAGAAAGTATTCTTTCAAATTTCAGGGAAGCTTATCTTCATCAAATGACTGGTTATGCTGGCTTATTTTGCTAATTTTTTAATGTCTGTCAGCAATCAGATTTGAGTTTCATAGGATTTACTTGCGATCAGTTTGAAAATAATAATTAAATCAGTTGATACCTATAAGTTTTATGTAATAAAAGTAGTCCAATTTCCTCTTTAAAATGGATCATTTAATTCGTCTTCTTACTATACTTTGTTAATATAAAACCTACTTGAAAGTAAAGTTTTCACTAATTACCCATTTCTTCTTTTTTCCTCTTTCCCTCTTGCATTCATTTTTTCCTTTGAATGTATGTGTTGTGTAATTTCTTATTCAATTATGGATTTGTTTTTGAAAATAGACTGCTTGCATGTGTCCACCTTCACCACTCATCCGTTGTGTTTCATCTTTTTCTCCAAGCCTGTTGCCAGTCCCTGAAGTGGACTTGCTTTCAGACATTTCAGAGGAAGACCCTTTTGGGGAGGCTGACCAGGTCACACTAGACAGTTTAGAGCTCCTTTCCACAGGTGAAACATCAGAGCAGGGGGACCCTGAGGTTACCACACTGGATTCTGTCTTGGATCCTGTTGTAGTCCCTGCTCAGTCTGATTATCCTCCATTGCACGAGAAGACTCTTAAAGCAGGTGACCGAGAGAATTCTGAGTTTGGTTACTTCTCCTTCAGCTTCTCCAAATGTTTTCCCTCTGGTTTCCCCTCTCTTCTTGATGAAGATGGATATCTTGCTTTCCCCAGCCTCCCTAAGCTCTGGGTTTCCTTCCTCCCTCCTGATGTTCAGCACTATGTTCCTATCACTTCTCCTTCATTCATTCCTTCCCTTATCCTCATCTTTGGGCTGTTGCTCTCTGCTTCTCAGTCTGTTCCTTTTTCTCTCACCTTTTCGCTTCCTCTGGCTCTAGCCCTCTGCTATCTGGAGACCAAAGCTACCTCCTTGAATGCTTCTTATGACCTTGATTTGAATGATAAAATAGAGGAAGAGGAAGCAGTTGCTGGAACTTCGCCATAAGCTTCATTTTGTGAAGTCAACAAACCACACTTCATCTTACACACCTCCTAATATAGAGTGTAAACATGTGCATAAATTTCAGATTACCCTCAAAATAATATCAGCTGCACATTTTCATACATACAGTGTTTTAGTGCATGAGAGATAAGTGTAGGCACTTCTGCGTTGATATTCTTTGGCCAGGTCCCACAAATTTTAAGTTGAGGGCAAAGTGATAGGATTATTTTGTAAACATCTAGATCATACTAGATTTTTTAAAAAAAAGTAGTGGGAGAGAGCGAAAATTGTATTGTCCTTAATCTCCATAGGTGTGTTTGTTTTGCATACAAATGTTAATGCTGTTCCTTTAAGATGGGAACTTTTCATTTTAAAATAGAACTTAGAATGCAGTGGACATAGCTGTAATTGACATTTACTAATAGAACTCCTTAGGATTATTGTTTCTGTTGTTTAAAATCCAAGCTTGTTCTTGCATTTGTGAGGCTATATCAGTAACCTTTACCCATGACATTTGTTACGTCTCATCTCAGAAACTCCTTGTCTCCTTTTATTATAGCATTTGGGGACTAGCCAGATGAATTTTAGCTAGGATTTTTTTTTTCTCCCAACCCTAAATCATGTATTTATATTAAGAGTCAGTGGTCATGTATTTTATAAGGAAGATATTATTCTGTTACTTTTAACAAATGTGTGTGAAAAATGAAATATGGCTTTTTGAGAGTTTAGACATGTAGCACTGAGATTAGGCCCCTTGTTGAAAATTAGGTGTCTGGTGTGAGGATTTTTACCCCTATATAAGGCAACTTTTTTTTCAAGCATACTACCTCTGCACTAATTAGTCAGTCGGTGTTAACATGTACAGTATTTTTTTTTTTTTAACTTACTTTGCTAAATGTGGTCTGGTGAATTAGTATCTCAGAGTATCCTGTGTATACTGTTAACACATGGAGTAAAACCTGAAGAGAAATGTGAAGAAATGTAGTGAGTATGCATGGTAGGAGAAACTACAATTTTGAATTTACATGGGAAACACCAAAGATAGCATTGTAGAGAATTAAGTGCTAACCAAGGAACTGGAAAATAGTTCTTAACAGATTGTTGAATGGCTGTGTCTCATTTTTCACTTCTGATAAAAAAGACTCTGAGCTCCCTGCTTACCTCTCAAAAATACTGTGAGTAGTTACCAAAAACAAAGGTAAGCATTTTGACACCATCATCCCAGCAAAGAAGGAAAAGAATATATGGTATGAATTAACCTGTAAAGATTATTTCCTTTAGTATCAGATTAATATTTTTCTTTTTTGCCATTCTTTTCCTGGGGTCAGAATTCACTCAGATTTATGTTAATCTTCCAGATTTATTTTGGGGGTGTGTGGGGGGGGGATCATTAGATGTTGAGAAATGTCCAGCAATGAAAAAGGGCTTTTTTGGATCCGGGAGGATTGAATGCAGGGATGCTTAACCACTAAACCACATCCCCGACCCTTTTATTTTTATTCTTATTTTATTATTTTTTGGTACCAGGGATTGATCCCAGGGGCAGTTAACCACTGAGACACATCCTCAGCCCTTTTTTGTATTTTATTTTGAGACAGGGTCTCGCTGAGTTGCTTAGGGCCTTGCCAAATTGCTGAGGCTGGCTTTGAATTTGGGATCCTCCTGCCTCGGCCTCTCAAGTTGCTGGGGTTACAGGCATGAGCTACCGTCTCCAGCTAAAAAAGTATTCTTGATTAAAGAATTTTATTTAAGAAGAGTGACTATATTTCAAAGTATATTTTAAATACCATCCTAATATGAGAGTAGCTAAATAAATCATTTGCCCCCAAGGAAAGAAATCCATATCTAAAAAAAATAGTGACAGTATAAGGTATGATGATGTAAAATATATAACCAATATAAGGCAAAAGACAAGATTTATGTCATTATACTGGTTTCCTCTCTAGTTGATTCAGACATGTCAGAGCACAGCAGATTGAATTATGCCATATTTGCACTCTGATATTTTCATTCCTGAGTTAAAAAAAAAATTCAAAAGCAGAGTATAATCTAGGGACGGAGAAAGAGTGAAGCTTCCATTCTCCATTCCACTTTGCAAAGGATCATTTCCATCATTTGTACAGCACTGTAGGTGACGAAAGACCAGAGTGGCTTAATATTCTGCATCTTGAGGGCCATACAGAGAAGGTTGGTAATGCTGCTTTGCCATTTACGTTTGAACATAGCTTCTCTGCACTGATGGCAGAGTTCCCACTAATGCTCCCCTTCTTTCTGGCTGCTTGCTATGTGCCTTTCCAGGCGAAGATGGAAGAAGAAGAAACACATCTGGAGGAGGTGGCTGTTTTTCCCTGAAGTTAAATATCTGGTGGCTGTTGCCTGCCATTATTACTGTTGGGGTGGTATTGGAATGTATTTTCAGCGCTTATTTGAGTTTTGTTCGTTGTGGTGTTAAGTTCTTAAGATTTTTATTCCTCTTTTATTTTAAAGTCTTAGAGCTTTCAAATTCTGGGTCATTTCTGGTGCTTGCTGATTGATACACTTACATTTATTTGCCTCCCCCCCCCCCCTGTGTGTGATTTAATTTCACAGAAAAATTCCTTGAGAGTAGAAGGGGATAATATTTATGTCAGACATAGCAATTTAATGTTGGAGGTTTGTATAATCTAAGAAAACAATTGTCCTAATGGCTGCCAGGCTGCTGTGGACGGGAGGTCACGCACAGGCTGGCTGGCAATGTTCTTCTAGCACAGTGCATGACATGCATGGGGGAAATTCAACTTGGGAGCGCATGTTACCAGTCCAACTTTTAAAGTGGCTAAGATAAAATTAGATCTATTAGAAGTTCTCAAAGTGACAACTGGGAAAAAAGTTCTATTTACTAAAATGAGTAAAGTTTACTTTTAGTCTTGGAATTGTTCTACAAGTAAGCCTATTTTCTTAATGAATTATCTCTAGGGCATAGAATCTGAAGTAACATGGTTCTGCATTTAATATATATTAAGCAGAACAGGTATTTATTGATCTGACATTAAATCATTTGACTGTTGATCTATGCCCATATATATATTTTTAAAGTCCATGTGATTAGTAATGTGGTCCACTTAAAGTATTCTGTTTGCGAATATACTGATTGAATTGTTTTGATTAGAAAGAGCAAATGATAGAAAAGAGACAAAGAGAAACAAAAAAATTAACTACCCAATTAGAAATGTAAAATATGTTCCCCGTGTCACATGAGAACAGGTTTGTTTTTATTTTTGTAGATAGTGAGTGGCAGTGAATTCAGTGGAGAACTGCATTTCTTAGTAATCTGACTAATCTGGTTGCTTCTGGCAGCTTTGATAACTATTGGAAATGTATTTTTTTTTGCTTAATTTACTAAAATGCTATAAAGTATAATAAGTAACATTGCTTTGAACAAACGCAAGAAATGTGCCTGATCTCAAGCCACAGTCATTTTCTCATGCCATGCAAAGATTTTTAGATTTTTATGAGTTTTTGCAAATGGCTATAGAAGCTCATAGATGAGCTAGTATGCTTGTGCATGCATATGGATTATCTAATTTTATCAAATGCATGACCTGTTCCTTTGGGAGTGGGATGAAAACTATAATCTGCAGGCGGCCCTGTGATTTTTGAAATGTGTGAAAACATTTAAATTCAGTTACAATCATTTCCTGAACATGAATTACCACATGTACTATTTACCAGAGCCAGTCTTTCCATTAATCATGAAAATTGACCTGGTAGTTTTTCTTGCATCTTTGTTTGGTGTGTGAGGCATCTGAGCCCTATGTTTGTGCTCTGCATGTCATGAGACCAGAATGAGGCTCATTATTATAGGGATCCCAAACAGAATCAACCTCTAGAAGAGGTATTTTTTTTTTATTTATTCTATAAGGATTAAAAGCACTATTGGAATTTTCTGACATAAGTCAACCTTTGGTTTTTTCCTTTTTTTTTTTTTTTTTTTTTTGATGATTCTGGACTGGCTTTCCCTTCAGGCTAAGTGTGCTTCTGAATCTACTTTTCTCTGTTTTGTGCTTGACTTACTGCATTTACAGAATTCAATTTTAATAGTAGAAAGGTAGATTTGCAGGAACAAAGTCATAGACTACAATTCAAATTCAAGAACAGAAGGATTATTAGCCATTTTGGTGATCAGTTCCATGGCTTCCTTCTAATAACTGTAAATAATTATTTTTAAAAATATTTTAAATAGAATAAATTAGAATCTTTAAAATGAGTCATAAAGATATACATTGGCTTTATTTCCAAATTTTGATGAACTCATTAGGATTATCAATAGGTGGTTTTATGGCTTTTGAGACTTGGCATTTTTCTTGCTTTACTATGTTTTTTTTTTTTTTTAATCATAAGTGTGCTTTGTCTTATTTTTTTTGGTTTTATTTTTTTATTTTTGTCCTACTGGGTTTTTCCCTTTTGGATTTCCCCCCCTTTGTCACGTTACATATTGCTAGGACCTGGATAAGGCCCAGGAGGACATACTGAAACATCAGGCTAGCATTAGTGAACTCAAGCGCAATTTTATGGAATCCACACCTGAGCCGCGCCCTAATGAATGGGAAAAACGACGTATCACACCTCTGTCCCTACAGACACAAGGGGTATGTCACTAGCTGTTTGTTGGCTATATATCTCGCTCCACTGTTCAGTAAAGTTTAGGATGTTAATCTTGTATGTTGATCATCAGAAATTACAAATTGTTCCCATTTAATTTTTTTATATTGCTAACAATTTTTTAAAATACTAAATATTTATTAACAATGTAATATTTATTGGCCTAGTTCTTAGGTAAATTACGAGTTTCAAAATGCCTTTGAAATATTTCAGAGTAATTTTACTATTTTATTCAAGTAAGCTAATACAAATATATTCTTATACAGGACAACATAGCATAATATTGTATTTAGTAAGCTACTTAGTTATTGCTTCTGAAATAAGGAAATTAACAAGTAAATAATTAATATCTAAAGGAATGTGGATTATATTTATAATGTTCTAAGGTCATTGCCATGAGGATAATAAGTTAAAACTTACATTTAAAGACTTGAGTCCTGTTGAATGTTTTATATGATATAACTTAATATTCAAACTTTCCAGTAATGATGTATATAGAATAAATATCATTTTTAAAACATTTTTAGTCATAATGTCTTTTCACACTTATTATTTTTTCTTTCTATAGTTTACTTTTCTTCACCACAAATATAATACCTGTAGAATATATTCTTCAAATGTTTCTCTCTCTTTATTCCTATGTATCTCTCTTTCTCTCTGATGATCCCAAATCCTTCCTGTGGTTGACCAGGAACTTCAATGGGCTCATCATACTTGAGACAGTGATCATACTCTTTATTCTGCAGTTTTAAAAATTGTACAAAGATCTTATCTGCAATTTCTACTTTCAGTGTCTAGTGTGGCTTGATGTTGTCAAATTGTAGACATTTAATTTAGATATTCTAATGCTATTTTTATTCACCTTTCCTTAGGGCAACCAACAGCTTGGCTTTTTAAGTTTCAAAGTTTATGACATTTTAAAAATTTATTTATGACAGTGGAATGCATTACAATTCTTATTACACATATAGAGCACAATTTTTCATATCTCTGGTTGTATACAAAGTATATTCACACCAATTTGTGTCTTCATATGTGTACTTTGGATAATAATGATCATCACATTCCACCATCATTTATAACCCCATGCCCCCTCTCTTCTCTTCCAACCCTTCTGCCCTATCTAGACTACAGAGCAATAGTAACAAAAACAACATGGTATTGGCACCAAAACGGAGTTGTAGACCAGAGGACACAGAGACTAACCCACAAAATTATAATTATCTTATATTGGACAAAGGTGCCAAAAACATGCACTGGAGAAAAGATAGCCTCTTCAACAATGGTGCTGTGAAAACTGGAAATCCATATGCAACAAAATGAAATTAAACCCCTATCTCTCAACATACACAAAACTCAACTCAAAATGGATCAAAGACTTAGGAATAAAACCAAAGTTTGTGATGTTGAAAGGAAAATAGTACTTTAAAAACAGATTGGCAAAAATAATTGCGGAACTGAAGAACAAAACTTTTGAAAATATCAAGATTTAAAACACCATGTATGATAGGGTAGATACCACCTAAATTTTTATTTTCAGATTTCCTAGAGATAATATCAGTTTTAGCAGTCTGCTCTAGAGTTTTCTGGAGAAAGTGTCTGATGACATGCTAAAAGCCTTCCTTATGTGCCACTGACTTGTTCCACTGACTCACACAGTTGTTTTATGTTTGTGTTGCTATAGGTGTAATGTATGTGTCTTATTTGTTGATTGTGTCTATTGTTTAAAACATTAGAGAAAAGGAGACCATCTTTTCAAGGATATTTTGTCCATGAAGGAGAAGTACCTGACGGCAGCAACACGGACAGTTGAAGATAAAGCTCAGGAGGCGGACAAGGTGTTCACCTTGCATCCTTGGATCTACTCTTGCTTTTTGCCCCTTTCCATTTATTCTGTCCACATCCATAGATATTTCCTTTTTCTTACGTATCAACCTTAATTTTTTCAAATAAGTTTTTGATTAAAACTGATTCCTCATATTTAGAAGCATAGAATCATCAGGGAGGTGCATAAGCCCTTTACTTGAAAATTCACAATTTGACATGAAGAAATAACAACCAGTTTAGCTGATAAAATGATCCCTAGTTTGATGTATGTGGCTGACAGTTGGGAAACTATAATTTCATGTGAAAATGCACTGTATAACTCTTATGCACACTGTGGTTCTGTTAAAATAACAAATTATATGTGCATTAGGTTACTAGTTCACTAATCACATATGAAAACCTGCATTTTACTTTTAAGACTTTTAGTGGGAAAAAAAGACTTTGCATCATAGCAGGCTTTCTTATCTCTCTCTTGCTCCCATTTATATGAAATGCCTGATATTAATGAGGAAGTTGTTTTCCAGCACTTTTATATTCTCTATTCTAATTATATTGATCATGCTTACTCATCTGGTCGGCCTGGGAAGTTCAGAGTCTAGTGGTGGAGCTAGACAGCAGACAAGTATATTAGTAAAAAGAATTTCAGGTACTAAGAAGTAACTGTTAAGAAGATAAAATACAGTGCTGTGTTAGAAAGGGGATAAGGAAGCTGCTTTACCATTGTGGTCAGGAGGACATGTTAATTGAGTTGAGACCTTGCTGATGACAAGGAAGTGGACATGTCAAGACTTTTCCATTTGTAGGGAAGAACAAATGTAACACCTTAAGGCAGGAACTCGTTGAATAAGGCTGAGCACAAAGGAAGG